AGTGGAGATTGGGTCGGAAATGTCTTGATGGCAGTGAGTTTGGCTTCTTTAGTTTACAGGCATTTTTGCAGTTCTTTTTCTAATTGTTGGAGTTGCTGGGTTGCAGATTACATCTCTAGTTCCCTATTTTCAGTTTTGTAGGTTTATTTTACTTTTGATATCTGGGATATCTGTGTTTGTTTCTGGGTGATGTTGTCATGTGTGTTAATCTCAGGTTATTGTCTTTCATTGTTGCCTATTGTTCTGATAACTCCCTTTAATATTTCTTGTAAAGTTGGTCTAGTTTTATAGTTTCCCTTAATTTTCTTTTATTTGGAAATTTCCTAATTTCACCTGTGTATTTGAGGGACAGTTTTGCTGTGTATATAATTCTGGGTTGGCAGATTTTTATTTCAGAGTTTTATATATATCATCCTATTGCCCTCTTGCCTGCATGGTTTCTGCTGAGAAATTAGAGCTTAGTCTTACTGTTTTTTCTTCATAGGCTACTTTTTGTTTTTCCTGAACTCATTTCAGGATTTTTTCTTTGTTTTTGGCATGGAAAGTTTGATTATGATGTTTTGGTGTACAAAAGGTAGGCAGTTTGCATTTACCAGCTGCTTCATAGGAGAATGATGAGGCAGTCTGCTTTCATAAAGATTTACAGCCTTGGAAACCCTACAGGGCAGATGTACTCTGCCCTATAAGATCACTATGAGTTGGAATCAATTCAGTGATAGCAGGTTTTGGTGATTTTCTTTTGGTGTCTATCCTATTTGGGGTTTATTGAGCTTCTTGAATGCATTTCTTCCTGTTTGTCATGATATTAGGGATGTTTTCTTCCAAGAAATCTTTGTTAATTTTTTGTTAATTGTGATTTTTTCTGATCTCTTCTTCTGGAATTCTGATCACATTTAATTTATTCCTCTTGATGGTGTTCTTTATAATTCTTTGCCTTTCTTCCTTTTATTGTGTCCTTTTTTGTCTGACCATTTCTCTAATAGATTACTACTGAGAGATCTGTCTTCCATTTAGATTATTCTGTCATTGATTCAGTTGTACTCATTTGCCTTTTGAATTTGTTATCTCTTTCAGAAATCTTAGTATTAATCTTCTGGACTTTTATTTGCTGTTTTTATATGATTTTAATTTTCCATTTATTCTGTCAGTTTGTTCTTGTGTTGTTTTCCAAAATTCTTCTAGAGTTTTGTCTGTGTTTTCCTTGATCTTTCTCTTAATGTGTTGAAATTACCTAAATATATTTCTTTTTAATTCCTTATCAGGTATTTCCTTGTTTAGGAAGGTCTTCTGGTTCTGTATTTTGGTGATTTGTTTGAGCCACCCTGTCTTGTTTCTGTGTGTGTGTGTGTGTGTGAACTGAGGTTGTCTGAGACATTGTAGTGTTACTGTATTTGTATTTAATGGGTGATTGTATGTTGTATGTTGGTATGTTTTATAAAGGGTTCTTTTTTTTTTTTTTGCTTTATTTTGTTTTGATATATCTACATAAGCAGGGTGCATGCTCTTCTGCTCACTGGTTTGGCAGCATTTAGACACTCACACCTGTCTCCTGGTGTGTGTGATAGAGGATGAAAATGTATGCACAGTTCTCTGTACGCTGTTTGTGTAGAGCAGTTGATAGTGGGCTGGCTGGTGTTGGCTACCATTTGTCATCGATCAGGTGGTGTGAGAATGGGTGGCAGCGCTTGTTCCTTGGTTAAGGGTGCAGGAGGTGTGGGTGTGGTTGTGTAGTGTAGACGTGGTTGCAGTCTTCTGGTGGGTGGGACAAAGAGAAAAAAGAAAAAGAGACAAGTGAAAAAAGGCAGAGAAAAGAAAAAATAACTGGGGAAAGGAAAAATGGAGAAGCAAGAAAAAGGGAAACAAGCAAAGGAAAAAAGAAAAGAAAAATAGAAGGAGGAAAAGAAACAAAAAAAAGGAGGGGAAAGGTGAAAAAAAAAAAAAGGACAAAAGTGAGGGAGCAGAATACCCAGTCAGTTCTCCTGCTGGACAAGGAGGTGGCGGGGTTCCTGTCTAGGGCTGTACTTACACCAACCTAGGAAGCAACTGCAATGGGGTGCCCATTCCAAGACTACTTCAGCTGGATTAGGAGGTGGCTGTGGGTGGGGCACACTCTCTGGGCCAAGCTTCTGCCAACCTAGGGGGCAGTTGGAAGTGGGAACACTTGGTTTGGGACAGTACTTCTGCTGGCTTAGGAGGTGGCTAGGTCCGGACACCTCACCTGGGACAGTGTTTCTGTAGGCTACGAGGCAGCCGGACACAGGGTGCCTGGTCTGGAATAGCATTTCTACTGGACTAGGAGGTAGCTGAGGCATGGCATCTAGTCTGGATAGTGCATTCTGTTGACCCAAGGAATACATGCCTCCAAACATGGCAGTGGCATGAATGCAGCATCTGATCCACAAGGGTTGTGCCTCTGACCTCAGATGAGACCAGGGCAGCATGAGGCTGGGTGTCACTGGCTGCTGGGTGAGTGGGAGTGAGGGATTGCCACACTTCTGGTCTCTGGGAGGTTGTGGAAAATAAGAAGATCATATGTTTCTGGTCATCAGCCACCAGTGTGGACACAGCTGCAGTCTTTGATAAGTAGAGTCAATTAGCAGATTTCTGCCCCAGTCAGAACTTTGCAGAAATTCAAATAGGCCATGCTATGTCAGGCCAGTTGACCACTCACAGCTCTATCTCCTTGTTCTCTGTTTTCACTCAGTTTCTTCTTCTAGTCTGTATTTGATCTACTTCTTTATCCTTTCCTTTGAAGCTTCAGGTTCCAAGATTATCACCCATATCTGTTTCATTTGGTTTTGCATGTCTTTTTTTATAGAGGGTCTGGGTAACTTGTCTGCCTAGTTCACTGTCTGACTAGAAGTTTTGACTAACTGGTAGTATGATTTTAACAGGAAGTTCATGTTTTTTAATGTCATAGATAGACACCTTGCATTATTCAGGCATCCTATGATAAAATCCGAACTTTCACATCTACTAGATATGTTACTTTATAACCTTCTTCAGTATTAGTTTTCTAATCTCTACAGTAAAGGTTGTTTATATAACATATTCCTGTAATGTTCTTACCACAGTGCCTGACACATGGGAAATACATAATCATTTCTATCTACTTGCCATTCTTACTTAGTGATGTGATTCCACTGAACATAAATTTGTTTTTGTACAGAGTCACAGTATTTATGGAAAAAAAGTTTTCAATCCCTGAAGTGCTACACTTAGACGTTCTGCTGGATGAGTAATATTAGTTTTAAAAATTATACTTTTTGAACATTGGGAAATTCACATCCATATAGCTCTGGCAGCAGAGTTAAACAGAATATAGATTTATTACATTGGTTTCTTTTTTTTTTTTTTTTTTTTTTTTTTTTTTTTTAAAATTTACCTAGTTTATGTGTTTATTTGGAATTATTCTTTTTTGTCCTTTAAATTTTATTTTGTTGTTGAGAATATATGTTAAAAACACACATACCAATTCAACAGTTTCTACGTAATACCATTTTGTGATACTGATTACATTCTTTGAGTTGTGCAACTATTCTCTCATCCTTTTCTGAGGTGTTTCTCTCTCATTAACATAAACTCACTGCAACCACAGGTTCTTCTCTTTCAAGTTGCTCTTGTGTATTTGATTCTATATAGATAGTTCTTAAAAGAGCATCATTCTCAAGGCAGACATTATTTCCTACCTGCTAAAGCGACCCTCCTTGGGTTTCCAAGGCAGTATCACTATGGAAGTAGATTGCCTAACCTTAACCTTCCTTCTGAGGAATGGCTGGTGGGTTTGAAACATCAGCCTTCTGGTTAGCAGTCAAATGCCTTAGGCACTATGCCACCAGAGCTCCTAAAGTATTGTTTGGTTTTATGAAGACTTTAGGGGCTATTTTTAGTTTAAGGTTTAAAGATTTTCCCAGGACAGTAGTTTCAGGGGTTTATCCACCCTGCATGGCTCCAGAAAGTGTAGAGGCCATGAGAATTTGAAATTCTGTTCTGCATTCCCCCTCCTTTCTTTTTTTTAAATCAGGATTCTTGTATGGAATCTTTTATCAAAATATTCAGTAATGTTACCTGGGCACCCTTCTTTTCTTCTGGCCTCATGGCAAAGGAAGTAGTTGTTCATGGAAGCAATTAACTATACATCCCATATTCTCCTTCTATTCCTGACTCACCTTCTTCCTCTTGTCCCAGGTAAATAGAGACCACTTGTCGTGCCTTGTATGGCCACTTGCAAGCTTTTAAGACCCCAGACACTATACAATGAAGTAGGAGATAGAACACAAGCACTAAACATGCCACTTAACTGGCATGCCAACAGGCCAATTAACTGGGCTCTTCTCAATTTCTTGAAAAGACTTTCTGACACTAATACATTGTTGAAGAGCAAAATGATTTGGCTATGATGTAGCACCTTCTTTCTATAGCCTATTTGGAGTTTTATGAAAATCCCTGCAATTAGACAACTATATCTGCTTAGTATGACTCTAGGAAGGGGGCCCTGAATGGTGCAAATGAGTAAGTACTTGACTGCTCAAAAGTTGACAGTTCAACCTACTCAGTGCACCTGGGAAGACAGGTTTGGTGGTCTGCTTCCGATGAGGCAGTTCTTCTCTGCACACATCTGGTCACCATGAGTCAGAATTGACTTGACAGCATCTAACAACAACATGACACTAGGAAACAAATATAAGTTGTTTTCATAATGTGAAGTTTTCTTTTTTGAATTCTGAATAAGCTTTAGAGTTTAAAATGTGTTTAAAATATTTTTGTTGTTAGTATCATATTCATTTCTTCATCATTCAAAAAGCAATTGCTTAAAAATTGAATGTTAATATAAACAAGTTGAAATTTACTTATTGGTAACAATTTCCAAAATTGAATGGAATATATTCCTCTTTGGTAAAGAATTGTATCAATATTATAGTTATAATCTTTTCTTTTGTTATAGTATAGAAATTTATTTTTCCTAAAAGGTATGAAGTTTCATGTTTATATTCTTGTAGATAACAATAAAAAAAAACCTAAAAAACTAAGAATAAAAAGGAGTCACCGGGTAGAACCAGTTAATACAGATGATTCTGCTCCTAAGAGTGCAACACCACCACCCCCTCCTCCACCTGGTGAGTAAATTAACATTGATACTGAATTTGGAAATACTGGTTTAAACATTGGAGAAAAAAAAAGAAAAAATTACATCATTTGTATTCAATAAGTATACTTAGTGAATTTTTTGAAAAAGATGTTTGAAGAATTCTTCACTCTGTTTACTTTGTTCAAAATTTATCAACGTATGTATCTATTTCTTTTTTTAAACAGAAAAAAAGTTTTATTAAGTAAATTAAAAATTTAATTAAGTAAAACTAGTAAGAAAACTTTATCCAAGCACTCTCTGGAAAGTCCTATTTAAAAGATCAGTACCCAGATTACTAAAAGAAATTAAATTTGATGGATGATGGCTAATATAAACTTTTAAAAAATTGAATCTTTCATTGCAGAACTTACCATTTGAAAGCAAGATGTGTGAGTTTTTCCATTATATTTTCAACATATATAGTCATTTTCTAAATTGGAATGAGGTTTAAATAGAGCAAATGCTGTAAAGAATTGGGACGTTTTAACTGCACAGTAATTGAGAGTTCTTTTTTTTTCACACAAAATAAAGTACCTTATATATTTTTGGTAAGAAGGTATCTGATAATGTCAGATATTATCAGATAACTATCTGATGACCAAATGAATATATTTGCAATGTCATTGTAGCCTTTCAGTGATGGCTGAAGATAGTAAAATATTCCTTTGAGAATTTTTTAAGGCTTATTTATAGTATTCTATTTGATAATAATAAAAAAAATTTCTCAAAGGAACATTCTACCGTCTTAAGCATTGAAAGGCTACAATGACATTGTAAATATATTCATGAGTCAGATCCAACTCAACGGCAGTGAGTTTTAGTTTGAGTTTATTTGATAATAAGACATTTATTTTAGCTTCTGCGAGGGGTGAGAACAGTAACCTAATGTTAAAGTTGTATTTTAGTTAAACATGAACAAAAACTTAAAGCAGAAGTTACCAGCTTATAGTTTCATTCTTAAATACAAGATATTTAAAGTGAGTTTATGACTATTCAGGACTGTATCACTTGGTATATTTGAAATGATATCAAATATTTATCTTTGATGGAAGCTTCCTCTGAACAGACATAAAGATATATTGTTTAACACTGTTTTAAATGTTTGTTTTTCTTTAGTTGGCTGGGGAACCCCCAAAGTCACTAGACTTCCAAAACTTGAGCCTCTTGGTGAAACACGTCATAATGGTAATTACAAAGGCATTAGTTTTCAAATATCTGTACAAGTTTACATCCACTTTTCTTTATCTCCTAACTTCAAATTGTATTTTATTTTGGGCAGCCTTTCAAATTTACAAATCCTTCTTCATTATGCTTACTGTTGTTTTTTTTTTTTCCTTCATTTTTTATTTTTAAGTGCACTCTATACAATTTGATTTGATGTTTATCTAAGATACAATCATCATAGCTTTTGTTTATTATATATGTATGCAGGTAATGATGAAAAGGGAGAAGGTCTTAAGCCATTTAAATTAAATATTAGACATTATAGTTATAGTGTTAAAAACTGCAGTGTCCAATTTACTCAATGATAAAACTGCATCTTTTTCTCTGCTGCTAGTGAGATAATCAGATACTGAATATTAAAATGAAGTAAAAATCAACAAAATTTATAGAATCAGACATAAAATGAGTAAACAAAGTTCATCTAAAGAGAATAGACAGTGCCTAGAAATAAAGTTACTGAAGGCTTATTGATTCAAGAAACAATTTTCTTTAAATGAAAATAACATTAGCTGCAGTTTATCCAACGCAGTGCAACCACTACTGAGGTGTCGGATCTGACTCGTAGCAACCCTGCTTTGGGTTTCTGAGGCGATACCACTACAGAAGGAGATTGTCCAACCTTCCTTCCAAGGAGTGGCTGGTGGGTTTGAACCACCAGCCTTCTGGGTAGCAGTCAAATGCCTTAGACAGTACGCCACCCAAGCTCCCACCAGTATATATAATTATATATAAATATAGCTCACTAAACTTGTTTATCAAGAAAATCTAATTCCCTTTTTGATGGCTCTGTGTTTACTTAATCTAGAACTAGTTTCCTAAAGGCTATCCACTTATTGGATTAAAAAGTCGTAATTGGATTTTCATATTATTTAAAGTTATATCAAACTGTATAAAATATTTTTTATTCAAGAAGTACATAAATATAAATGTGCTATTTGCTTTTTTTCAAAACACTGTAAGTTGGTGAAGCCAGTGTACCTCTTCATAATCATTAGTGGAAATAAAGGAATTTTTTTTTTCATTTCTGTGAACAGTTTAGTTTGCCCTTATACTGTATCAGAATTACTGAAATGTTATTTCCTGTGAAATCACACATTTCTGTTTTGCTTACTGTCTTTACATCATGATATTTTTATTAACTATAATATAGGCTAGTTCTTATGCTACTGTGAGTACATTTGCATATGTTAGAATTCATTTTCAATTTAAAAATTTACTGTGTTACAAAGAATTAAAAAAACCAAAACCAAACACACTGCCATTAAGTTGGATCTGACTCATAGTGACCCCTCCTTGGGTTTCTGAAGCCATATCACTATGGAATAGATTGCCCAATCTTCCTTCTGAGGAGTGGCTGGTGTATAAAGAATTAGGTAATGTTAATGTGTCTATGAATATACAATTGATATATATATTTTTTTCTCTTGAGCAAAAACAACAACTATTTTGTATTAAGCACCAACGAAAACATTGGCAATGCAAAGATGATTAAGGTGTGCATTCTGCCTTCATAGAGATCCTAGTCTAATAGAGAAGACAATAGTTAAGCAAATTACAGTATATATGACAATTTGCAATATACAGTAATAAGTTCTATGGTGTAGAATTTGAGTAATGTGCACAAATAACATGGGGGATCAGAATAAGTGGAAGTATAACTGGGTCTTGGAAGAATGAGAATAGTCGGTAAGCAAAAGAAACAGACTGTTACAAAGGTAGAGAGATAGGAAAGGACATTACCTATTTGGAGACTAGGGACTTCCAAGTTATAGAAAGCACTGTAGCTGGAATTGGGGTTTACAGCCAAATTGTGATGGGCCTGGCATACATGTTAAAAATGTTTGGACTTGCTATAATTTTTAAGGCATATTCTTTACTTTTTACAGGGAAGTAGTGTTATTTGATTTATTTCTCAGAGAAATATCTTTGGTCACTATGTAAAGTCCAGGCTGGATGATGGTTATACTTGAGGTAATAAGGATCCCAGTTTTGTGTAGTCAAAGTGAGAAATGAGGAATGGAAATTAGAATATAGAGTAAAACCTGCGTTTAAGGGACATTTTAACAATTACGTAAGTAAGATTTGATGAGTGGATGTGTGGATTGAGGAAGAGAGGAAAAGAGGATAATTTGGTTTAAAGGACCAGAAAGTTGGTTCTGTCTCTAAAACTGAAAATACCTGAGGAGGAAGGAAACCTGTTTTGGAGAGACATATAAGGTGTCTGTAGGCTCATCTATTTGGAAATGTGTATAGGCCAGAACAAGTTAGAATCTGGAGCTCAGGATGGGGGAAAAAAAAAAAAAGGCTCAGATGGGTAGCTAGAAAGCCGTGTAGGAGTTGAGGTAGTGATAGTTTACTGTCTCTGAGGAAAAAAATGTAGAATGAGAAAAAAAGAACTGATGACAGCACCCAGGAATGCCAAGAGGAAAAAGAAATTAAAAATGTGCTGAGAAGATGGTAGTTTATTTTGTTATCATTGTTAGCTTTTCTGGGTTTGTTTTTGAAATTTGGAATCGTAGGAAATAAATATAATAAATTATTTCAGTTAAAGCCCATATCTAGTATTTCACTTAATTCCCATTGTGTAAATTGTATCTTCCCAAGGCAGAAAGGAGAATACCATAAGTATACAAGTTTAAAATATCTTTATTTTTTTCCTCATTAATTCTAATTAAAGAATATTTAACCTTTATTCCTAAAGATGTACAGACAATTCTGCTTTCATTAATGGGGAAGAAAGAAAATATAATAAATCATTATTATTATTTTTTAATTTCAAAAAGCTTGCATTAAATAGATTTTAGTGTTTTCATCAGAGATATTGATAGGTGACAATTACATAATCTCATCCTCTTCTTTGCCCTAAATTTATACTTTTTTTTGCCTCTGTAAATAGCAACATCTTGACAAAAAGTTGGGGTTAGTAGACAACAGATATGTGATGAACTTAAGTAGATAATCACAAATGGCTGCAATTGTTTTGGCCCTTAAAATTTACTGAGATGAAAAATAATTGGCAAATTGGGAATTTTTAAGGTAATTTGTTACTTTTTCTTTGATTATAGGCATTTACCTTTGTTTTGGTCGTCTAGTGCTGCTCTAGCAGAAAAATACCACAGATGGATGGCTCTAAGAAATAGGAGTTTATTGTTTAACAGTTTAGGAAGCGAGGAGTCCGGGTTCAAAGTACTGGCTTTAGGGGCTGGGTGAATGCCCCTTGACCTTGGGCTTCAGCTCTGCCTCTTGCTCCTGGCCCACTGAAGCTTGAGGCTTCTCTTAACTCAGACAGCTGCCGGCTGCTGAGGCTGACAAACCCAAGGTGAACAAGTAAAATGGCATAGTACCAAGATTATTAAGCAACATGACAGAACACTAGTTCAAGTCCAGAAATAGTCCCAAGATTAGCAGGCATCATGGCAGGCTGCTGAATGAACACTCGGCTACGTGCAGGGTCCTAGCATGCTTAGACACCTTTCTCAAAGCTGACTGCTTATATATTGGAAGAAGACCACATTCCTAAGGCAGCTTACTCAGATGCTCACAGTAGATTCCACCATGGAGTTGATGACCAGTCTCATTGTGGGCAATAACTATATCCAACTGCCCACCCACTTAAAAGCAAGCCCAGTCAAGTTGACACATAACCTTAACTACCACAGCCTTGATAGCAATTTTATTCTACTTTTCTAACTTTTTTTATTGCCTCTAAATTTGCTCAGTCTAACAGATAAATCAGGAGCTCTGGTGGCATAGTGCCTAAGGCATTTGACTGCTAACCAGAGGCTGATGGTTCAAACCCACCAGCCACTCTTCAGAAGGAAGGTTGGGCAATCTACTTCCGTAGAGATACCGCCTCATTAACCTAAGAAGGGGTTGCTATGAGTCGCATCTGACTCGATGGCAGGGAGTTCGGTTTTTTTGGAACAGGTAAGTCAGATTTATTCAGAGAACAGACTTAAAAAAAAGAATTCATATTCACTTTAATCCATACATTGTCGATATATTATGTTTTATGTAAGGAGCCCTGGTGGTGCAGTCCTTAAGTATTTAGTTGCTAACTGAAAGATTGGTGGTTTGAACACACTGTGGGAAAAAGATGTGGCAGTCTACTTCTGTAAAGACTCGAAGCTTTAGAAACTGGGGGAAGTTCTGTTTGTCATATAGGGTCACTATGAGTCTGAATTAACTCAATGGTAGTGGGTATCACACATTATAAGAAACAGATCAAAGATTCTTTTAGTCATAATACCTAACTAAACAATATTTTAAAATCTTATTATGAAGGATGATAGATTTTATGTATAGTTTTACTGCTCTTCAATTTTTCATGATAAAATAGTTTAGAAACCTTTATCAAAATGTGTGCTGGCAATTAACTTGGTCATTTCAGTTGGGCACTAAGGTTGACTTATATGCATTATAATTAAGGCAATAAGAAACCTACTTTGTATAGAATGATTTAATTTTCTGACAGATAATACAAAATGATCTGCAGAAATAAACGAATTCTGCAGCAGGGGGAAAAGACACTTACTGCCAAGTCTTTTAGGAAGATATTTTTAAACTATAGAAGGAAAACATATCAGAAAAAATTATATTCACATGCAGTTTGTTAGTTCCATTATATATTACAAGTTTCATTGATTTTGAATTTAAGAAATTAGGAAAAATAAACTTCAAACTTATCAAAATAATTATTTCTATTATAATGTTAAATATAACATTAATAACTACATATACCATGTGCCTTTCACATAAGCACTTGTATATGCTATGTCATTTTATTCTTCTAATAATCTTGTGACAATGGGAGAGGATATCCTTGTTTCATACATGAGGATCTTAAATCCCAAGGTCATATATCTAATAAGTGGCAGAATCAGGATTTGAATTTAGGTCTGTATAGCTTTGAAACCCATGTCTTTAACTCACTATGTAACACATTAAGATTTATTAGAACATGCTTGCAGTTTAGTAGTTGGTTTGCATTTATAGTTGTTTTAAAAAGGTTTATTTTTCCGAAATACATTTTTAATATGTTTATTTCAAATGATCCTAAGCATCTTTGCTTCTACAGTAAATTTAAAGTAATAGTCCAGAAAGTAATTACCTACTCAAAGCTAAGAAAGACCATTAAATTTATAAGCTAGTATATGATAATTAAGGAATAGGAATTTATTATGAAGTATAAAATAAGACTTGTTGTTTCAAATAATATCAAATATATACCAAATCACCAAACCACATTAAAGCATCATTGTAACAGATTCTTAATTACAAGAGTACTGGGATAATTAATTACTCCCTTTTCTAAAATATCTAGACGAGTAATAGGCATTGGACAAGAACATGGATTATATAAATACTGCCTTTTTAGGGACTTTAGCAACAGGTTCTGTATTTTTGAATATTTGTTATTTTATTCTAATGTGACTGTGTAATTGGAAAACAAAAATAATTTAACAATAGACATAGCTCTTTGGTGCAGCTTTTTATTAAGTTATATAGAGATTAATTTCTAATCTAGAGTTAGGAATTTACTCTAGTGGTAGTGTTTTGAATTTATTCAAATGTTCTATTCTTACTTTTTTTCCTATTTCCACCCATCACCCCACCTGCCAACTCAGAATGTTTTACTTTTTTAAAGGTGTTAATTGGTGGCAAAGGGGCAGGGAGGCCACATCTTCTGACCTCCTCTAACCCCACAAGAGGAAGACAGAATCACCATCAGTAGCCCAAGGCCTAGCCCTGCGAGGCCAGACATGCTGCCTCTCCACAACCCTTTCCCCAACCCTGACATCAACCATTCTTCCCACAGCACCCAGCGCCTCTCTCTGCTGGGTTTGATAATTTGCTTCAGTGGCCACACAGAACTCACAGATTATGGGGTTTATTTAGGGAAGCAATAGGCTACAATTCAATTTCAGGAACACACTCAGTCTTGCTCAGCCTGCCATTTCTCAGCCAACAGTTTCTCTCAGTCTCTCTCCCACCAGTGCGTGTATCTCAGTGTCTGCCTCCTAGCAGTGCGTGTCTCTTGGTATCTCTCTCAGCAGTGCATTTCTCTCACATCTCTCAGCCGCAGTGAGAGATTCCTTCTGCTTCTAGGAGGGCTCCTTTTGAGCCTGATAATGTGACGAAACTAACCAATCCCAACATCAGAATTCTATACACCTGAGAACGAACTTCCCAGAAAATTACTTCATGCTGCTCCCAACAGACATATCCCACATGGATAACTTTAACAATCAGGAGCTACTCAGTTGTTCACATCAAATTCCACCATGGAGTTTACAAAGACCTATGGCTAGAAAAGCCACACTATTTAATTTACTATACCAGAATTGGGTAATAATGAATTGTATCAAAAATCTAGATTTATTGCAACTTTTGCATGATGATTTCCTTTCTTTATGTAGATTTCTATGGGAAGCCACTGCCTCCCCTGCTGGTACGTCAGAAACCTAACAGTGATGCCCATGACGTGATCTCATAACCAAGCTGATGTGGATGAGCTCTCTATCAGCAAGATGAAGTGGAATGTATTCTTTCTCAAAGAAGAAAAAGTCTGATCATTGATGACTGAAGATACCCACTGTGATTTCAGTGGGGAGATTACCAGCCACAGACCTAAGTGATCTGATAATTACTTATCCATGCATGTACTTCTTGGTTAAAAAGAAAGGAAGTAAAATGACCAGTATAAGGGATAAGCATTTGGACCAGTTAGCAAGATACAGTAGTGCTGACTCTTTGGTTTACACATCCCCACTCATGAGCATATACTGGAAGGAAAGCCTCTTCAGAAAAAAACTAATGGACTTCACACTTTCTTTACTATTTGTTTAATAACCTCTATTTCTGTATACTACATTTTTTTGTAAGATACATGTGCATGAAGGGACACTCTTGGTAATTTATAACATAAAATTTTTAACTATTTTTATATTTTTCTAAAAGTTTTGTTTAAAAATTTTAATTACTATGATATTGATAGTGCACTTTTCCATAGATGCTATTTAAAAAAATTGTATCTGGAAAATAGAATTGATTAACTTTATAGCTGTTAACTGTAAGAAAGGGATATATTTATGGCACATGCTTTTGTTCTTGAAGTGTGCATCCTAATTTGACCTAATTTTTAAATTTTAGATTTTTTAAATAGCAGGTTTTCTGATCTTTATTCTACCAAATTATGTTATTTGAAAGCACTACTCAAGGACATAGTTCATTTATTTTTTTTGTTGTTACACTTTTTTTTTGTTTTGTTTTTTGGTTTCAATAAATGAAAGAGACTTGACATAACATTTTGGCCTAAATGTTTTTAAATTAATAAAAATGTTATATGAACGATTACTAAAAATTGCAGTGAACATATATTTTAAATTCAGAGATCAAAGTGCTCCTTGTCACCACTTAGTTCTGTCACAAGCTACAGAAACACTATTAGTCATCCCAACTCTGTCTTTAAAGGCAGGTTCAGAGACTTACCTTTTACAAGTGGGAAATACCTTGGGTACTGAAGCAGTAAGAATAAAAATATTGGCTCTAAAATTACTTTCATAAAAAAATAATTCCAAAATAATTTCCTAATTTAAAATAATAGCACTTCTCTTGCATTGAAGAATGGAATTCATAGAATTTTCTACTTGTTTAGCACATTCACAAAATGTTATGTACAGAGAGAGGAAAAAAATTGACAGAGAGTAGTAGATGCATAATAGTGCCTTTCCCTAAAAAACAGTACATTTTTGGTCAAGGTGAAAATACTATGAGGAGAAGATTTATCACCTTGTTAAAATTGGTCAGCTTGGTAACTTGTACTAACAACATACATATACTGGTATCTGATAATAACATTAATAAATACTTTTAAAGTAGTTTCATATGATTATCGATAGCATCATCTTTTATTCATATTTTTAAAATTCATTGAACTTTATATCAGGTCACTTATAACTAGTTAGCATTATATGTAGTATCTTGGAGTTTTGTACATGGGACCTATCTACCTCATTGAGTGAGGTGAAAAAAAGCATTCTACTTCAGATATAAAATTCATAATAATCTAAATTTGATAGGAGGAAAAATAACACAAGACAGGATATAAATTTTGAAAGAGATTTTAGAGGAAAAAATTACATATACATCATTTTGATTCCTTTCTAACTTTTACATTCATTTCTTCACTTTATTTAACTAAACTCATACTTTTGCCATCTTTTTATATTCATCTAGCTTAAGAGTAAATATAATTTTTAAAATTTATGTTTCCTACTAGTAATTATTCTAGTGTACAATAATTAATACAGGTCTATTTAATTAAAATAAATAACAATATTTTGAAATTATATATATGACAAAATGGAGTATTTTATATATCTCATAAAATTAATTTGTATCTTTAAAGCATTCTAAAAATACTTTAAAAGATTTTTATAAATCCAGGTGGGTTTTAACAATCAAATGCCTTTTTGTTATATGCTCATTAGTTTTATTCTTAATGATTATGAATTATAACGTTTTCACACAATAAAAATAATTTATATCAGTTTGCTGTTTCCCTTTTGCATTTAATGGATTTAAATGTTTTCCTTTGGATAATACAATAAGTAATAATTTGGGGATATTATTGAAACACAACTTTAAGTTAATAGATTAAAATAGTACATTTTCTATTATTTCACATGACTGACTCTTTTTCTTCTGGGCAAGTGTTTATTTATATATATATGAAAGAATGTTGTCATTTTAAAGGCAGCTAAAATTAGCATCATATCACCTTATTATTCTATATGATTAAATGTCTATCTTTTAAGTTGGAATATTTTTAATGACTTAAAAATAATTTTATATGCCTTTAAGTCATATATATTCATACAAACATGCATGCACACACACACAATCTTGTAAATAATTGATTTTAAGTATAACACTGTTCATTGAAACAGCACAGAAAGAAGTATTGCAGAATAGTAACAGTAATTTTTTGGTGGTGATTTTTCTTAGTTTTTCAAACTTATTATAATTTGGCTTTACTTTTATAGTGGGGGGAAGCAAATTTACAATTTTGTATGAACTGTTTACTACATTTTGGGTATGTTTAAAATGAAATGTTCTGTTAAATACCAAATGAAAGACTAGAATTTACATAATATATAAAACCTTGTATGAACAGCCTGGAGAAGTACACCTACAGAATAAGCATTGTATTTATAGCTGGTCTTTTGAAGTATTATCTTACTATGACAATATATAAATATGTATGTGTCTGTGTGTATGTATGCATGTGTGTGTGTATGCATAAAAAATTTGTTAGGTGTTGTCAAACTAGTTGACTCATGTTGTTGTTGTTATGTGCCTTCGTTGGACCCAACTCATAGCGACCCCTCTTTCGGTTTCCAAGGCGGTATCACTATGGAAGTAGATTGCCCAACCTTCCTTCCCAGGAGTGGCTCAGGGGTTTGAACTGCCAGACTTCTGGTTACCAGTCAAGTGCTTTAGGCACCACCCGGTCTGCACCGTTCTCGGGCAATTGTATTTGGATGCAAAAGCTGGACAATGAATAAGAAAAACTGAGGAATTGATGCCTTTGAATTACAGTGTAGGTGAAGAATATTGAGGATCTTTTTGTTGCTCACCCTCTACTTCACCAAGCATGCTGTTCCTCTCCAGAGACTTGTCCCTCCTGATAGCATGTCCAAAGTATGTAAGACAAAATCTCCCCATGCTCACTTCTAAAGGGCATCCTGTCTGCTCCTTCCAAGACAGTTGTTCCATCTCTGGCAGTCCATGGTGTATTTAATATTCTTTGCCAACAATAGGGTATATTTAATATTCTTCAGCAATTCAACGTGATACGTTGTTTATTCTTCAGTAACTATTTAGGGTAGGGTGGGGAAAATTAACATTCTCATGATATGGAAATACTAATTCTAGATAGATTATGGGTTTAAATGTCAGAGTTCAAACTATTAAAAAAAAAGAAAAGGAGGGTGGAGTGGGGAGCAGAAGTGGACCCTTTGTATGTAAAAAATTTCTAACTCGAACGCAATGAAATAAATTATACACAAAAACAATTGATTCCATAAAACTTTAAAATATGTTCACAGTAAAAAACAAATGATTGTAAGAAAAACTGGGAAAGTGCTTAAAAACATGACATGGGTAAGACAATACGTGCCTTAATTTCGTTGTCACCATTTTCTTCTTTCTCTGAGCTCTTAGTATCTTTCCTAACAATGGGGTCAACGGATTTGACAGATAAAATTCTGTAACTAGCTTAGCTACTTACAGGAACATTTTAAAATGATCATATAACCAAAGCCTAATAATGACAAAGGTTTCATCCTATTGTTGAGCTTCATTCACATAGTTATCAAGAACCGTTTAAGGGGAAAAATGTCCTCGTTAAACCCAGTTGCCCAAGGTTCTGCCCTCCAGCACCTGCCCTTTCCCGCTAACTCACAGCTGGGATACACTCGCCTCTGCTAAGCGCCGGCGAAAACAACCTCGCGAAAGCCTCTCGCGGGACCTGACGTGTTTGGTGAGACTTCGGTACGCAGGTAAAGCAGTATCACGCGAGAAGTTGAGCCGGAAAAGGGTAGGGTTAGGAGTGAATTCTGGCTGATCCCGGAAGTCAGAGGCTTTTTGGTTTGTTTTGTTTTTTGTTGCCTGGTTGCTTTTACTTTCTGGATGAAGTAGATCCCTTGCTTGGCAGCTCCTGGCGTGATGATGCTGACCCCGGTGAGGGTTGGGGCCCGGCCGGGGCCTCTGACTGAACCAGGCCCTTCTCTTCCGGGCAAGGTGGCGAGGGAGGGGCGAAGGATGAGGGAATTTTTGGCTGCGCCTCTGGGTTTCTTTGCTTTACAACCCAGAACCCTAGAATAAAGTTGAGTGCGTTGACTCCTGCTCCTAAGCGTTCCTTGTAATATTCTCGAAAGGACTCACCTCCGCCCTTCCCGTAGTCCTGTTCTCGCACTTGTAATCTATGCTTCCTTTAGAGTCAGACTGTAAAACCGTGGAGGGCTGGAACTTGTGTGTCTGTTGCCGCTGTTTGGAATCAGCGGTAGATTACCCAGTACGCAAGGTAAACACGGTTTTACTTGTGCTAGTTTACTAATCCAGTGAACAGTTTCAAGAGTTTCGCACTACATCAAGGATGTGAAACCCGTGTGAATTGTTCACTACAGATTAGTAAATATGCACTAGTAAGCCTGCGTTTATCTAGTTTACTGGGTACTCCATCCCGTCCAAGATTGTAAATTTGAAAATAGGCTTTGATTCTATAGGAAAGTAGTGGGGGTTTGGGAGGGAGAAAGATGGCAGCCATACCCAGAAGCAGAATCTTTGATGTGAAAAAAATATGGAATTGTTCACAACATATTAGTAAACACAAATAATCTCTGCTTACCTGATTACCCTTAGTGGGTAATCTGACAGTGTATCTGGTACATAATAGGCCCCCCAACTTTCCTTTCTTGGTTGAACAAAGCTACGTATCAAGAAGGTTTTCAGAGAAAACTAGAGTAGCTCTTTTTTTTTTTTTTTTTAAGATCTTTTCTGGAATAATTTTAGATTTACAGAAAAATGCAGAGAACAGAGTTCCTTTATGCCCTTCACTCAGTTCTGCCTTATGCTAATGTCTAGAGAGGCTTTTAAAAGTAATTTTGTTGCTTCCGATGCAGCTTTCTTAACACTACGAGATTCTGCTTTAAATTTTGCTTTACATTTGGCCAATGATCACTGGAAGAAATCCTCAGTGGGCCTAAATATATAGGGTATCATAATACAGTTGTGTTACTTGTGATAGATTACTTTCTTTGCAAGAACTAATAAATATCTAACAGACTGTTGAAGTCTTAAAAAAAAAAAAGTGCTTATGTTGAAATTCAATAAATGTGTAATAATACCTGTGTGTGTCAGCAACTTTTTCTTACTATCACAGCTGAAAGCAAACTCAGAGGGGAAGCTGGCAAAACAAATTTGCAAAATTGTGTTGGATCATTTTGAAAAACAGTATTCCAAAGAACTTGGAGATGCTTGGAGTAAGATAAGGTTAGTATAATTCATGTCTTAGTGCTTTATAACAGATGAAGTAAAGTGTGTAATATGCCTGGGAGGGATGAGTATAAAAGATAAGGGAATTTAAGCCTGGCTGCTTTTTCCTACCGAGACTATAGGAAGAAAGGAATAAAAGGATATAAATCATAGGAAGATGGAAAGGGGAGAAGGAAAACTCTGTAGTGCTAGTAAGCAAAAAATCGTTCAGTCTCTGTGTCAAGCAATTGCTTTCATCTTTCTTGAAACAATAAAGCCCACCAATTTGGCAAAATCAATTATACTGTAACAAAAATCTTAATGAAAGCTTTTGGGGGTATTTGTTTTCTGAAATTCAGAAGATAATACAACAGATCTCTTTCATACCAACACTGCATTATATAAAATAATAAAACTTTTCCTTCCAGTTGATTGAGTCATGGCAATCCTGTGTGTTGCAGAGAAGAATTGCACTCCATAGGGTTTTCAATGGCTATAATCTTAGGGAAGTAGATCACCAGGCCTTCTGCCCTCTGGGTAGACTCAAACCCTCACCCTTTCAGTTAGTAGCTGAATGTAAACTGTTTGTGAAACCAAGGCATCTATCTAAAGTCACACTTCATTCAGTAATCATATTTATTCCCTGTTTTGTTAATGGCAAAGAGGTCTGGTGGTGCAATGGTTAAAGCATTCAGCTGCTAACCAAAAGGTCAGCGGCTAGAACCTCACCAGCCACTCTGTGGGTTAAAGATGTGGCAGTATGCTTCTGTAAAGATCACAGCCTTATAAGCCCCATGAGGCAAGTTCTATCCTATCCTATAGGGTTGTGGTGAGTCAGAATCCACAGCAGTGGGTTTGGTTTGGTTTTTTATTTATGGTTGATTGTATTTTAACACATACACTAATTTGTAAATATAGACAAGAAATAGAAATGTAATGGCTAGAAGTAGTAAGTGAAAGAAATTGAAGAAATTTATATGTTTGGTGAGTTTTGCCATTGGTCAGGATGTCTGTAGATTCATTACAGTAAGTGTTTGATACCACTTAATCAAACATGATTATTCCACCATGCCCTGTGGAATACAGAGCAAAAAGTCCCCATGTCCAATTTGCTGGCAGTCTGGTGTTCCTGTGTGTGTCTTTGTTGGGAGTATGGTATGGTTACAACTAAGTAAACTGCTAATTCAGTAAGTAGTATGATAGAAGAAGGCACTGGATGGTCTAAGGAGTACCTTTTCTTACCTTAGAAAGTGACAGTACCAGAATAAGCCTGGGATTATGCCGGGTCTTGGTGACTAATAACAGTTACCTTGACAAAAGGAACCAGGTGTTCTAGGCTGAAGGAAAAGTGTACTGCTCTTAGTTATGGGGAGCTCTGGTAGCATAGTGCCTACGACACCTGACTGCTAACCAGAAGGTTGGCGGTTCAAACCCACCAGCCACTCCTGAAGGAAGGTTGGGCAATCTATTTCCGTAGAGATACTGCCTCAGAAACCCAAGGAGGGGTCACTATGAGTCACAGACGACTTGATGGCACATAACAACAACAACAATAGCAATGTAGTTATGAGCAAAAGCCCAGTATGTTTTGCACAAGAGAGAGAAAAAAAAGTTACATGACAGTGTGTGTGACAGTCCAGATAGTAATTTCTCAGACAATTGTCTGTCATTCCATCTCCCCTTGATACAACTCAGTCGGCATTTCTCCTTTACAGAGGACACCTTTAAGCATTTTTTTAAAGCATTAAGTGTTGTCTGATAATAAGGTGTAAGGTTGCTCTGAGATAATTTTTGGACAAATTAAACTTATTTTTTAGAAACTTCTAAATATTGTAATATGAATATATGGTGTATAATTTCAAAGCTAGAGCTTGAAATGGGTGTCTTACCCATTTCTGTCTTCTAGTGCAGACTCAATAGTGAAGTAATGTAGATTCATGAGGTTTTCAGTGTTCAGAGGAGCTCAGATATAAAATAGGAGCTCTGGTAGCACAGTGTCTAAGGCATCTGTCTATCTGACTGCTAGCCAGAAGGTTGTTGATTTGAGCCCACCAGCCACTCCACCCAGAAGACTGGGCAGTTTACTTCTGAAAAGATTTACTGCCTCAGAAACCCAATGGGAGTTACTATGAGTTGGAATCCACTGAAATATAAAATAAGAACTATGGTATATATATATGTGTGTGCGTGTGTAACCAAATATCTATGGCATTCTCATTAGACATCAGATAGTATTAATTAATGTGAGCCTGAAAAACAAATCTATGAGGTTTGTTTCCCATTTTTCATCTGAAAAAACTACCCAAATTCACTCAGCTAGTAGGTGGCAGAGATGGGAGTTACGCCCAGGCTCTCTGGCTTAAGAACTCCTACTATTAATCCCTATTCTATACTGCCTCTCCTACCTGGGATGTAATTAGCCATAGTTGGATGATTAAAAAAAAAAAAAACATTTCAGGACATGTTTTATCTGCAGACTTTGTAGTAATCTGGATACTCATATCATGTAACAAGTTATTTTTCTATTTAGTTTGCTCAGACAGATTTATAAATTCTTACTTGACCCTAAACGAATTGGGCAGTGAACCTCCAATCTATTTAATTAGCTGCACTTTCTGCTTCATCTACCTTTTTGTTAGGTTATTGTGGTAATTTGATTTTTGCATAAACATGCTAAATTTGCCATAGGCGAATTAAAGGCTTGCTTGCTCAGCCTAGAAAAGTGGTCTGAGCGTGGAAGATGGCTTGGGAAAATAAGGAGAGATTCTTTTGGCTGCTTTTGTTTGTTTGTTTTTTAATGGTTTATTTCCAAGATGTAATATTATGCTTGCAAGGTCTATTTACTTCCATGGGAAGGCAAGTGAATTTTTTTACCATTTAGAACGTAATTTACTCAATATTTTTAGTTTCCTGTAGTAGTGGGAAAGATTTAGTATTTATTTTAATTTTACTGTTTTGTGATAACTTTTCTTTCCGAGTACCTCTCAGCAGCCTTTTAAAATTGCAGTTTACCCTGATTCACGTTTTGCTCTATTTCTTGCCTGCATATTTCCCTTCAGATGGGTCCATTAATGGCATGGCTTTAAACTATCATCATCTTAAGCTATACAGGCCCACTCAAGCTACAGGCCCATACTTCTGAATATTTTCTGGACAACTTACTTAGCTGTCATATTTGACAAACTCATCATGTCCCAAAAGCGTTTGTTTCCCTTCCAGACCTTTGTGTGCTGCTTAGATAAACCAAAAAACCAAACCCGTTGCCATCAAGTCGATTCCAACTCATATTGACCCTACAGAACTGCGTATAACTGCTCCATAAGGTTTCCCAGTCTATAAACCTTTACAGGAGCAGACTGCCACATCTTTCTGTTGTGGAGTGGCTAATTGATTCAAACTACTAACCTTTCGGTTAACAGCTGCATGCTTAACCACTGTACCACCAGGGCTTCTGCTCTTTAGATACTTTGTCTCTCTTGAAGGTATCTCCATAAGTCCCATTTCATCTTCTTTCCTCCCCACCTTGACTGAAACATGGTGCACCTGTGCCCCTGTCCAAATCCAAATAGTTACCACCTACTGCTGCTGCTTCCTGAGAAATCTCTTAGTTTGGAGTTTTGAGTTTTTAAAATACACATAAACACATGCCTAAGAATTGCTTGGAATATTGTTTGACATATAGTAAACCAGAAAAGAAATCAGTTGCCATTGAGTCACTTCTGATTCGTGGTAACCCCATGTGTTACAAAGTAGAACTGCACTCTGTAGGGTTTTCAGTAGCATTGATCTTCTAGAAGTAGATCACTAGGCCTTTCTTCCAAGTCACTTTTAGGTCCAACCACCAAACTTTTGATTAGAAGCTGAGCACTTCCCTGTTTTTGCCACAGCGACCCCACAGTAAGCCCTCCATATGTTAGCATTGGTATTGTTTTTATACCTATTTATTAGCCATTTGTTCCCCATCAAGCCTGTGCATATGCTCCTGGCAAAATTAGTTGCTGTGCCCAGTGTGTTTCTACTACATTTTGTTTGTACTGCTATTAAAATTCTTTCAAGATTGTATTGCCACAATTACTAACTTTGCTTCCTTGACAAGGGAGGATCTTAAGGAACCGAGACCTTAAGACTTAGGCAGGTCACTCACTTGTTTACAATTCAGGCAGTATTTAGGGAATGCTGTTATATACCAAGCATAGTGCTAAACAATGGGGATTCAGAGATGGATGATATATATCCTGCCCTTGAGTATAAAGGGAAGTCTAACAAACACTATTGGAAGACGTTATGAACTTTAGAAATTTTACATGCACTATGTTCCTCAGAAGGAAGGATGGGCAGTCTACTTCCGTAGATATACCGCCTTGGAAACCCAAGGAGGGGTTGCTATTAGTCGGGACTGACTTGATGGCAGTGAGTTTGGTTTTTGTTTTTATTTGGAAAGCAAAAAATTCCCATTTAAATCTAGCCTGTCTGTAAATATTTTTTTCTTTTGTCAGGGAAGACATTCTTCTCACTAACCCAGAGTTCACGTGTAGAAGAAAAAAAATATTTAACCAGATAGTATCACCATACTCTGATGGTTGGTAGAGTGGGATGGGTGGAGAAAAGAAAAATGAGTACGTAGACTTCTGTTAGGAGCTCTGGTGGCATAGTGCCTAAGGCACTTGTCTGCTAACCAGAAGGCTGGTGATTCAAAGCCACCAGGCACTCCTTGGACGGAAGACGGGACAATCTACTTCCGTAGTGATACCACCTCGGAAACCCAAGGAAGGGTTGCTATGAGTCGGATCCGACTCAACGGCAGTGAGTGAGAGTGAGATTTCCATTTTATTCCAAATTTAATCTGTAGCAAATCCCTGTGAAATAGTAACTTTTGGCTCTGCTTACAGAAGTTAGAAAACTTGCCAGGTGTTAATGGCAAAATCAGGACTATCACTTGAATGTCCATGCCATTTCCTTTTGCTGCTGTGGAGGGTCTGGAGTCCCAGTCCTAGAATTGTGTGACAGCCCTCATAAAA